AACAATTTGACTTAACAGCATACTGCAAAAGCAACCCAAGAATTTCTCAAAACAAAAAGATTGGATATATTTTGTCTGTGGCCAAGTCAGTCAAAAGAGCATATTTTCAGTTACTGGAGATAAGAAAAGTGAATACATAGCATCTCAACGTAGGTTAAACAGCATTTTTTGATGTCTATGGGTTCTAAACTTCAGGCACTGACTGCAAAGGATTTTTACACAGCCCTTAAAAACATTATCTTTAACAGTGATGTCCACAAGATGGAGAAGGAGCAGGAAGCGGAGAGAGAGAGAGACAGAGTGCGTTCCACCAAATTTTTCGAGTCCAAGTTCAACATTGACCCCCCGCCTAAGGTATAAATTATTTTTAAGTTTACCTACTGCTCAGTCTTAAAATTTCGATGTAACAAATTGCATCTTTATAATCTTTTACATTTCCTGAAGCCTTCAAGAATGAAACCAGCCCGGTTTGGGAACACACTCAGTATTGGTCTGCACATTCAGGTACTTTTAAGCAACCTCTAGACACATCCTTTGAGGTAGCTTTAATTTTTTTCCATATATAAGTGTGTGTCTGTTTGTATCTGTGCAGCTCACTGAGGCTCTGTGTGCCAGCTCACCTGACCTAGCCAGCCCATGTGACTATCAGTCTCCTGTCGACTCCAGCAACACTCTCGCACTACCTGCCAAGTCGCCCCGGCGCCGCAGCATGGGGGTAAGAGACACTAAGCACTTCCTTTAAAGGTTTAGCTGCACAACCTACTAAAGCACTGTATTATACTGTGTCGAACGAGGATACTCATGCGATTGTTTTAGTAACATTGTAATTACACTTCTCCATCGTTGTACTTGTAGGAGAACGAGTTTTTCAGAGTGGAACGGAACACCGAGGAAGACGCCCAGCTCCTGTGGCAGAGGGAGAAACACCAGATACATGAAACGCTCCGCAAGCAGAAAGAGCAGATGATGGAGGATAAAAAGTGGCTGAAAAAGGAGGAGAGACTGCTGGTGGGGAACAGAGCATCCTTTACTTTTGTCAAATCCCTCTCTGTATCTCGAATGCAGTGTAGCTGTGAAGGCTACATGGAACGAGGCACCGTTAAATAATATCAACCTACTTGTCCATCCAAAAAGCCCCACTAGTCTTAATTTGAATGTGCCCCTGATAACAGTTCCAAAGAGAGGGTCTATATCTCTGTTGTATAAAATGAACCTGCCTGTTTCTTTGCAGGACCCCATGGGACTAGAAGATACTGCCAATCCAGAGGTAGGTGTGCTCCTGTACGGAGTGTAATTTTAATTACAGGCAGTTTAGTGAATCAATTTAGTTACAATGGAGACATAATTTTTTTTCAGATACCTAAAATACAAACCAAGTAAATGTTTGGGTTTTTTTTTTTTTTTTACATTGCTGTCAGTCCAGTTGTGACTGTTTGTGATCGCTGAAAAATGAGCTTCGTCATAGGTCACATTTCCCGCAGGGATCAGTATAGACCACTATTAGTCAACTTAGTTTAAATCTTTTATTAGATATTTTATTAAATAGACTTCAGGTGCATAAGTTTCTATCTATCATGCCATTGTCTGATGTACGGCCCCTGTGAGGCCAAACGGACTGTAAGAAAACACCAGCAATAAGAAAAGTGCTGCAAAACCACACAAAACACCCACGGAAATAGGAAAAATGAAAACGAAAAAACAGATTTCCAAAAGCACAAGGGAAGTATTTCTGGGGAGACAATAACCCAACAGACCAGTTGCAGAAACCAAAATATGCTAGTGTGTTTTAATCTCATGATTAATGTATGGATTTTTAGGCTAATAGTTAGGCTAACACACTTACCGCTCATCTTTTCTTTGCGATAGATCCTCCACTTCTTTTAAGAGTCTCCCAGCACAAATCTTAGCATAGTTTGGTTCCTGCAACTGGTCCGTCAGGTTATTGTCTCCCCAGAAAACCTTCCCTTGTGCGTTTGGAAATCAGTTTTTGCCTATTTATGTTTCCGTTTTTTCTATTTCTGTTGTGTTTTGTGTGCTTTTGCAGCGTTTTTCTTATTGCTGGTGTTTTGCAGTCCATTTGGCCTCACAGGGCCACCGTACTAAACTACTATACTACAACTAAAGCTTTACTACATATTTGTATCACCAAAACTACTATAAAGGTCCAGAGCCACATAAAATAAACACATGATATACGTTATTACATTTTTAATTATTATATATTTAATATTAATAAAATATTTATATATAAAGTGTTAATATAACCCTAGAAAATAATGTATGTTTGTGTCATTTGACTGTTATTTTCTTTGATGAGGCATCCACATGATATATCCTGCAAAGCCTTTCCCCTTTTTCTTAATTTGAAATATACATTTATGACAGGAAGTGTGTTATTTAAGAGTATTGTCACTTTAATTAAGCATTTAAAGTTTAAAAAAGTATTAAAAGGCTAATTTATCAAGTCTAGATGATGTGCAGTGTTTAACAAATTAATTAGATGACCTGTCATAAAGAAAACATGCAAATATTTTAGAAATCTGTCAAAAACTTGTTAAAGCTGAAAGTGACCTTCTATGTGCAAGTTTGAGGCAGCATACTGGACTTCCCTGAGGAGTCAAATTAATCAGGCATAACATTCAACCACTAAAATGAATTTTCCTGTTCATGAATAACTGACATCTTAATCAAAGAATAATAATGTCCCTTTAGAAACGAGCACCTCCCTGCTTTTTATGAAACAGTACATTTAAAAATTAATGGATAACGAGAATCATTTAATTTTAGCATTAAAAATATCAATTTGATTAAACACCTTGTTCACACTGGTGTAATAATCAATACAGAAACACAAAAAATGATTTTGGTAATTATCAATACTGTTAATTTAGGGCAGCAGGGGCATAAACCTAATACTGGGTTTTTAAGCGCTTTTCTCTGCTTAAACTAACCAGCTGATTGGTCTCATATAACTATCAGCAGCATCAATAATTATGATTACTTTTGTGCGTTGTTGTCAATACATAATGCGAACTGTTGATTAGAAAGTGTAGAATTGTAAAAATTCCTCATCTCGTCCTCATGAGATCCTTCTTTTGTTCTTTTAGCCGGCTAACATCGAGATTGGTAAGCACTCACAGCAATTCACAGATTCACATCTAAAATGATCTAAAGATGTTCCTTCGCTCCTTATGTATTTGATCTGCTATTTCTCCTCATCTGTCATATTTTTCATCTTTCTGCCATACAGCAGTGCCTGAGAAGCCGCCACGACTCACAGCAAAGGTAAGCAGATTTATTTTTCTTAAAATTATTTTTAGGCCATAGAAAAACATCATTTAATTTAATAGCTTTGATTTTTGGATGAAAAATTATTCATAATTTGTCCTTTTTTTTTGAACGGGCATCGATGCCACTGTTTTATCTAAGTAAGTGTCTTGTGATGTTATTTAGTATTTCAGTTCTTAAAACCTATTTACTCCTTTTTCAGCCTGCGCCCACAGCTGAGCTTGACCGCACAGATGACAAAGTATATCACTGCGTAATGGACTTGGTCAAAGTAGTCGTCCAGCTCAAGAATGACATCGCTGGGCTGCAGCCAGAGCAATGCATTACCCATATCAAGGTACACTGAGACAAATGAACTGCTTTGCACTTCAGTGTTACAGTTTGTTGCTGCTTTAATGCCACATTTTGAAATGCAAAGACAAAGCTCCTGAGTCATTTCTGTATTGATTTCTGCTCACAGTCTGTTGGGATGGCATTAAGAGATTTAATTAGCAGTGTGGATGAGATACTGCCCACGTTACATGGGTCTGTGAGGACTGAGGTACAGTATGACAGCATTATTTTATTATTTCATTTCCTTTCTGTGCATTTTTATCCCTTTAAACACAAACAAAGCAAAAACTATACAACTATTTTATCCCTTTAAATCCCGAACCATGAAAAAATTGCCAGAAAATTCAATTTTCTTTTTAAAAATAGTGTTCGGTGAACCTCCTGACATAACAAAGAACATTAAATATGATTTTAAATATATGCATTTTGATTTATATAATATTTGCTACAAAACATTTTTTTCAGTTTATTTCTTGAAACTTTTTACTTTAAAAAAATCGCACTGAGAAGTCACAAAAACTCATCAAATATGATACACTTGCCTTTAAAGTTTACATTTTTGGAGGGGGACACCCAGAATCCATATTTTTGCATCACAAAAGTACTGACGCAACGCCAGATTTCCTCAGCCGAAGAGCTGGCAAAACGTAAAACTCAGTCATCAAAGCGCCAATCTAAACGACTGATCCATTGGTCTTCTGTAATATCGCAGATCGAAGGCACCCAGAAGCTGCTGAACCATGACATGGGGGAGCTGATCAGCAAAATGCGGTTGGCTCAGCAGAATGCCATAACCTCTCTAAAGGAGGAGTGTAAGAAACAGATGCTGGCTGCCGCACACACTCTGGCTATGGACAGCAAGAACATGTTGGATGCTGTGGATCAAGCAAGAGTCAGGGCCAATTTAGCAAAGCCTGCTCCCCCCTAAAAGACATTAGATTTTTTTTTTTCAGTTTCACATCAAACTAAATAGGGACTTCTTTTTTTTTCTTAATATGTGAAAGTCAAAAATAACATTTGTGCATTGTAAAGCATGCATTTTTAGTTGGATCACATCGATCAATCAGTGAAATGAATCCTGCAGCATCACCGGTTCTTTGGATAGCCACTGTCAGGTTAATGAGAGTTTAGTTTAAATGTGATGCTACATATGGATGCATGTGTATTTTTAGGTAATGCAATAATACAGAAATGTGTCATTTTCCTTTTGCGGTCCCCTTGCATCATGTTTAGGATGTCAGTTATGCTAAATTTTAAATGATAACTGTACCTGTGTGTGATTGGTGAAGTGTTGACTCAGATATTTGCTTTGAAAGTTGTATTTGTAAATAGAAAATGTGTTGCATGGGAAATGTTTCATGCAAAAAAGAAAACACATGTGAACAGTTTACTTTTGTCAGTAGTGAAATGTAAATATAGCATCAATGGCGTTTTGTTGTCGTCTTTGGTTGGCTGTATCGCACAAAGTCATGGGAATTAAAATCCACCGACCAGTGAAGGAAGCTCCCAAAAATCATATCCACGACAGATCGACCTGGTTTCACTTAAATCCAACCAAGATTGTAGGATAAGTAGCGAATTTTGTGAACGCTGAAAACTGCCTTTAAAATGACAAACACGATGTGGAGCTTAAGCACAGTTTGGCTGAAGAGTCATTAGGTGATCAAATTACTGCAAATTCTGAGCCATACTCTAGAAGGATGAGTGATTCTAGTGAACTGTAGAGGGAGGGGTGGATGTGTGCCTTGGCTGGATGAGATAAAAATGACCATATTAAAAGGTTAGTTGGCCATTTAAGTGGCATGACTCACACTAAACCAATGAACTAAAGAGCACAGTATTATCCTCACAAAGACCCAGCAATTCATTGTTGTCCTCTGTTAGGGACATGAGTCTGAGACCTCTGCATCAACCACAATTTATGCATCTGAGTCATACTGTAGTGTCAAGAGGACATACTGGGATTTCTATTGCTGGCACATATGTCGGGGTTGGGTTAACAGAGCGCATGGACTTTCTTTTCAAAATGATGGGCATTGCAGCTCCAGATTTATTTAAGGGAGATTAAATGATACGATATATACACACACATATAATTCTTTGATTTAGTTGGATTTCATAATTTTAACACTTTCAAAACAGAACTTTCATTCCCAGTCCTTTGTAGTGGACAGTAGGACTTACCAACTTCCATTTATAAGTGAGACGAAGAGAATTTTACCCAAAATTGTAGACAGGGTCTCAGGCGCATAGCTGTCTGGGGATGAAGTGTAGGAGGGCCAGGTATTAAAGCAGAAAGGTGAAAGTTCAAAGCACCTACCAGCATTCGAGAAGCGTCACTGTCCAGTTTTACATCGCCACAGACTGAGGTTGCCAACCAAAGAAGAATCAACAGATATATTTCAAGACAAAGATTAAACTATTTGGCCACAAAAGCAAGAGGTATTTTTGGAGGCATCAAGGTGAGGCTTTTCAAACCTAACGACACTGCATCAACTGTCAAGCATGGTGGTGGTAGTATCATGCTCTGTAGCTGTTTTGTTGCCAGTGGTACTGGTGTGTTGCGCAAAATGGATAGCCAAATGAAGGGGGATTACCTCAAAATCCATTAATCCGCTAGACCAGTGGTTCTTAACCTGGGTTTGATTGAACCCTAGGGGTTCGGTGAGTCGGTCTCAGGGGTTCGGCAGAGCCTCTGCCGTGACATGCATGGCTCATTTTGTGCACCAGTAAAAAAACATCTATGTCTTGAATTTCAAAAAAAAATCATATTTTATTTTTCACTAAAGAGGGGTTCAGTGAATGTGCATATGAAACTGGTGGGGTTCGGTACCTCCAACAAGGTTAAGAACCACTGCGCTAGACGGTTAAACTTGGACACAGTTGAGTGTTTCAGCAAGACTGGTTGTGGAATAGGTAATGCTGAGCTTCTGGAATAGCTTTCCCAAAGCCCCAACCTCATCAACTGAAAATTTGTGGATTATGCTTAGAAGCCGCGTCTATGCAAGGAAACCAACCAATTCAAATGGCTTCTGTCGGTTCTGCAAGGAAGAGTGTTCAAGTATTCAGTCACAATTACGCCAGAAACTTGTTGATGGCTATCAAAAGTGTCTGAGGTGCAACTCTCTAAGGGACATTTCACCAATTATTAGTGGAAGTGCATATATATTTAAACCTGTATGTATATTTTTGACTGTGGATTAGAGAAAACATGAAATAAATTCAAAGATCTGCACCCAATTCTTGTTTTTTTTTAAGTCATGAAAGATGTATGCTGTATAACCCCCCCACCCATTCCGGAAGAAGAACAATTAAAAAAAAAAATCATTAGAAGCCAGCATTACCTTGAAATTCATGCCCATGATGACTGTATGTAAACTTCTAAATACCACTGTATAATTATCTACATAATGAGGTCATCTTAAAGCACAAGGAGATAGGAACATTTACATATATTTCAAGTCTTTACTGATGATCATTAAGTGTAGTTTCAGAGTCAGTTCTTTTATAAAAGAATACAAAAAATACTGTATAAGAAATTGGTTGTTTTTTTTCAAAGGTCAGTAAACAGCGTGCAGACAAATTTTCAAATTTGTTTCATGGGTTTTTATTGTATAGTACGCTCAATCAAAAATACTACAATTGTTGCAGCATCGCCAGAAGGAAAAAACCTGTGCTGATGCATTTTTTGTCTAAACCAAATCACCCCAACGTGTATCCAACATAGTCTATAATAATGGGTGTTCATCCCACCATACACAAAGAGAACAGTGTCATCAACAACTTTTAATCTGATAAAAAGCAACCCAGATGGCATTGTTTACATATTTAATTCTCCCTATTTTTTTAAACGTTCACTGGTTTACCAGTATCATGGCACCTTGAACGGATTGTGATAAATTTACATGCATTTGTTGGCTCCAGTGGATGATAATAAATCTTGCAACGCAGACTAAGTTCTTCATTTTTCAGTTCATGACTGGAAACCTTAAAAAGTAGCAAATGAATTCAAAACTTCATGAAGCAGTTTTGAGCATCACTACTGACCAATGGTGGCAAATTAAATGGAAAATGATTATATTTAGTCATTTGTCCAAGATCCCCTTTGGAGCAGCCAGTCCAGTTACCCCTGCTAAAATCAGACTAGGGATGCACTGAGGAGTATATCACATTTGAATGCCCATTTCTTGAAGGATTATTCACCACCATCCAGAATATGTGGTGAATGAAAACTTTGCTTAGAATCAAAGAGAACAGATTCATGACAAATATTGTTAAAATACAACTCAAATGTAGAATAGGCTCTAGTACTTAGTTTACAGGTGACAGCCTTCAGTGGCGTTAAGGTCAGGAAGGTGAATTTGTACATGTGGTTTAGCAGTCCACACTCTTGTATTGCTAATGTTTGCTGATGCATTTTCTGGACATATCAATGGTCAGACAAAAAGACAGACAGATAACCATGAAGTAAAGAGCATGAAAATAAGACGAATTTAAAACAAGCTTGTTTTCTTAATGTTTTAATCTCCATCCTTGAGCCTTTTACAACAAGCTAACATTGGGATGATAAACTGAGTTTGATTCAGAGTTTGACTTCTGCTAAGACAGTAAGATGACAAACAGCTTTCACTGATCCCCCTGCTATCAGTGAATGCAATGCTATTAAGTTGTTGAGTTTTAAGCTGCAATCCCTGAAACTATAGGAAAGAAAAATATGATCACTGTGACACCCTACTAAGACAGCCGTTGGCACTATATATTTAACTAGCATGTTATGCTAACATGCTAAAAAGTGATTAACATTTGCACATTAAAATACCAACATTAGCACAGTTTTCAACAGCCATGTTAACTTTAGTGAATGTTAACATGCAAATGTTTGCATTCAGGTCAAAAACAACCTGAGAAATGTTACAGATGATGCTGAAGGAGTAAACCTGAGGCTGACAAAGTGCATCTGAGATGAAACTTGAGCCAAGACTTTATAGCTAACAGTAGGTTACTGAGTCTGATCTTCCCTTAAAAATGTAGATTGTAGTTGATTTTTATCCAACTGGGAATAAGAATCTGAAAATAGCAGAGTTGTCTCCACTATTCATAAGTTATATTTGGTGACGTGTAAAGAGCACAACGGCCTTTTGAGGACACCTGGGTTGCACCGAGTTACACAAAGTTGAGTCAGATTACCCGACTTGAAGAAGAGTTCAGCTACACTTTAAAATATCTTTCAAGAGGAGGTGACTGTGAATTCAACCCTTTCCCAGAAGCCTTAAATCATGCCGGCTAGCCACGGTGGCAAGAACAGACCAATTGTCCCAAGCAGGCAGACAATAATGAACATCCACAGGAAGATACGGTCAATCACCATAGCAACATACTTCCAGTCCTCTTTCACCTGTGCAGAAAGAAGTAACAGAGAAGGTGGGGAGAACAAGAACAGAAATAATATCATGAATTTAAATGATAATTCACATCATGGGTGGTATTGTTTGCTATGAAAAATATGGTTCATAAGAAAAACTACTCATCACACAAGCTATGTCATATATTCATGCACATTTCTGCACACTTTTGCTGACCTGTTCCTTCTATTTTCTTCAGTCAATGCGATTTGCTACAACCTGTCTGTAACCAATCAAACTTTTAAACAGTTCTTTCTTAGCTGCTCCCAACAGTAATTTCAGTGTGATGTTAGGCATATAATGGGATTTAGCTCCATGCATTACTGCTCCATGTATCTGCCCTTGAAGTTTAATATCTGTCTCCAGAAAAGCTCTCTTCAGTCACTCAGCTGCCAAAGCCAGTTTTTATACCTCTTCAGTAACTTCCTATATATGACAATAAAAAGAAAAGTTGTATTTTTTTTTAATTTAAAAGTTACTTTTCTAGGGCAGAATGGTGCCTCACAGCAAGAAGATCCTGAGTTTGAAATAATAATTTCCCCTAGGGATCAATAAAGTATTCTGATTCTGATTCTGATTGAGGCTGAGGGCCTTCTGTGTGGAGTTTGCATGCTCTGCTGTGTTTGTGTGGGTTCTCTCCGGGTACTCCAGTTGCCTCCCACAGTCCAAAGATATGCAGTAAGTGGGATTATGTTCACTCTATTATTCAAATTTGCCCAGAAGTGCGATCTTATCCCTGTGTCAGATGGTGACATATCCAAGGTGTGCCCCGCCTCTTGCACTATACTAGCTGGGATAGATTTTAAGGATAAGAAAGAGTATGCTAAATTTCTTATGCTTGCTATTTTGTCCATGAATACTCTGCAGGCTTTCTGCCCTCCTGTCTGGTTTTTCAAATACAGTAAGAGGCGCAATATTGATAAAAATCTGAATAATATTTTTTAACAACCAAAGGGAAGATGTTCAAGTTGTTTTGGCAGGACAAAGTCTTACTGAGAGACTACCAACTGAGACACTAAAAGACTGAGTTATCAAACTTCAGTATATACTGCATATTTTGGTTCTTATTGTCAGGTGTCATGGTAAACTGAGAGTTTAAGATTATTTTTTTTTACATGTTCTGGGTATCAGTATACAGTTAGGTCGGATGACACAAATGCAGCTTTGCTTTTGCAAACCATCTCAGTGGATTTTAAATCAAAGAATCAAGATGAGATCAAGGTGCACACTTTAACTTATGGGGTTTTACAAAAGTATTGCCCTAACCTTTTAGGAATTATCTACATTTTTATTCACAGTACCCCAGTTGCAGTGGCTCAAAAATAAATAGACAAACTCATAATTAAAAATATAAAGATTATTTTCATTCTTGGATGATTCTCATCTGGAGACTCTCTGTTAGGCCTCTACTGAATCTTGTGAAAAACCTGAAGTTAAAACTGAGATTTTATTTTCAAAATAAGTTGTGTTTCTCTTTTAATACAAAGAAGCGGCTTGTTGCTGCAACATTCTTGCCTGTGCTGGATTATGGTGATATTCTATATATGAATGCTTCTGCTCAATGTCTTCGAATGGTTGATTCTGTGTATCATGCTTCTCTGAGGTTCATCACTAACCGTAAATTTCTGACTCACCACTGTGAGTTATACTCTCAGGTAGGATGGCCTGCTTTGGTAAGTCGGAGGAACTCTCATATATACAGTTTTATATATAAGGCGATACTTGGGTTGCTGCCTTCTTATATATGTTCCCTGCTTCTAATGAAACATGCTGGTCGGTATTCTCTTCGTCCGCATGGCTACTTGTTGCTTTCTGTTCCATTTGCCCGAACTGAACTTTGTAAAAGAGCTTTTGTCCATTTAGCACCCTCGGCTTGGAACAAGCTGCAGAAGGAATGGAAAATGACTGAATTCATTTTATTAAGTGCTTTTAAATCTAAACTACGAATCCTTGAGGCCAAGTCCATAACATGCAACTGTTTCAATTAGATTGATTGTCATTTTAACTGACTTTTTTATTTTTATTTGAATTTTATTGAATTTTATTTTATTTTATTTGTATTCTTTCACTTATTGTTGCATGTGTGTTGTTGCTGCCTGTGTTTGAGTAATTTCTGTAACTGTGAGACATCTGCTGCTGCCTATCTTGGCCAGGTCTCTCTTGAAAGAGAGGTTTTTAATCTCAATGGGATCTTCCTGGTTAAATAAAGGTTAATAAATAAAATAAATACTGCAGCCACCTTCAGTAGCTGCTTGTTTGTGAGTCATTCAGTTTTATCTTCCGCTACAGGCTCTACTGCAGTGACTCCAAAAGTGTAGGATGGGTCCCCCTGTGGGCTGTGAAGGTATTGCAGGCCTTAGTATTAAAAGAAATTGCGTTTGAAATAGAACTATGTACAGTTACGTATTTATATAAATGCATTTATTTATGTAACAAGTGAACTTCTGTACAGAGCAAATGGAAACATCTGTATCAAACCAATTTAACAAACATGCAAAGGACTATCACTGATATTAAGAGCTGGGTCTCCAGCTATGGCCCGGAAACTAAGCAGCATTGTTCAGTGAAAGAATCCTGAAGGATGGCCATAAAGTCCATAAGGTCACGGGTGCACTCTAAATCCTGGTTTGCCATTTTTCAACATTCACAGGATTGTGAATTGTTGCATGTACCATCGACAGGCCATGCCCAAACACTGCTCACTAACCACCTTGCTTACTAAACTCAGTTCCATGCAACTTCTTTCTCTTTCCTAAAATGAAATTCAAGATGGAGCCTATTTTTTACACACGAACAATATTCAGCACTCACTGAACAGCAGGCGGTCAGGACAAAATTTCCAGGGTGCATTTCATACAAGTGTATGGCAGCCAAATTTAACTCACGTATGATTTTTAATTGATATAGAATAGTAGGAATTTTGATTGCGCCTTGCACAGGTATTATCTAATCAACATGCCCAGAGTATGATTTTGTATCAAAACTGAGATAAATGTAAATTGGAATACCATCAGTAATACAAATGAACAAAATGCCATTCTGCTTTTATATTAGATGCATTATTTCCTTGATACTCACACTGAAGTCAGCATCCTCAGCCCTCAGGTGGTCTGCAATGTAGTGCACCCCTTCTAATGCACGCATGACACTTGGTGAAAGCAGGAAAGCTGACTGTGACACTTTATTGTCAACTTTAGCCGGCCGAGGAGTGGAATTACCTCTGGTTCCAGTTAAGTGCCTGTTCCCCCCTGCCACCACCTCTTGTCGGCTCTGGCTGTTCTGTGGGGTTTTTTGTTGTGGTGGAGGAGTTGACCCTGGAGGTCTGGGAGAAGGAGGACGGAAGGAGAAATAGGATGTCAGTGTTCCCAGCTCCAAGTCCTCATAACAGCTTCTCTCGGGGTCTTCCAATGTGGTCCCATCTCTTAACCAGTTAGCTGAGGTGCTAATACAGTTGCCCGATTTATACCCGGCTATTCGGAGCTGGCGCCGCTCTGCCACCGCTTCCTGTTGAAGGAGCAGCAGCCTGCGACGGCGGCCATCCGGTGCGGGCCGTCTCATGAACAACCAACGTGGAATCAAGTCCAGGAACACAGAGTGGACCCAGTGGGGCATCTTGTGAGTGCTGGGAGAGCGGTGGTGGACGTTGAGGACAAAGACAGTGATAACGATGGACAGGGTGACAAAAATCATGGTGAAGAGGAGATACTCGCCGATGAGAGGGATAACGAGGGATGTGGACGGTATGATCTCCGTGATGAGTAGCAGGAAGACAGTGAGGGATAACAACACGGAGATACACAGGGTGATCTTCTCACCGCAGTCTGACGGTAGATAGAAAACCAAAACCGTGAGGCATGAGATAAGCAGACAGGGGATGATGAGGTTGATTGTGTAAAATAAGGGAAGACGTCGGATGATGAAGAAGTAGGTGATGTCTGGGTAAATCTCATGGCAGCAGTCATATTTCTTTGTATTATACGTTCCCACGGCATTGATGATGGCCCATTCGCCGCTCTCCCAGTAGTTGCTGAGATCCACAGTATTTTCAATCTGCTCCAAGTCAATTTTGGCTTTGTCGTAAGTCCAGGAGCCAAATTTCATTTTACAGTTTTGTTGATCGAAGGGGAAGAAGGTGACATCAATGCTGCAAGAGCTCTTGTAAATAGCAGGAGGCACCCAGCGAATTTTGCCCGTGTAGAATAGGTGAGCTTTTGTCATGTGGGTCACAGCAAATTCGCCATCAGCACTGCAGAAGGAGAAGTTTGTCATATAAGTCATGGAAACACACAAAAGACCTCATCTTAGAGCGAAGGCTACATCAGATAAGAAATCATAACCTTCACTGTGATCAGTTCTATTCCCCTTCTTCTTTCCTGAGATTTTATTTCCTTTTTTTTTTTTCATTTTGGAAACTATGTAGTGAAAAACTGTCTGTAATCTCCCCTCCATTCACCACTTTAATGGCAACACTAGCTTCAGCAGAAGACGTAATCATACGTCCTTATCATTTAATCAGTCTCACCTCTTTTAATTTCACATACGGACTGTGATTACACGAGCGCGCTGGAGCAGAAACCTATCATCAGCGTGCTCGGTTTAATCTCCAGGAGGTGAATTTAGGTGACGGGAGAGGTTTCTCAAAAGTGGTTTTTGCAATCAGTTTCCCACTGGAGCGATAGACATGTAAAGGCTGCCTTGAGTTCGATGAAATGAAATGCACTCCACCAATTTTTACTAACAGACGTGCAAAATTTTAAATGGAGTATCTTTTTCATTTTGCTAAATGAAACAGATAATAAAGAGCTGTGTTTACATCAGCGTGTAAACTATACCGCACATATCTCAGAAGGTACAAATAAAACCAGCCACCCAATCAGGACTGGAAGAAACATGAGAAAGAGGAGCAAACCATTGTTTTCACAGACCACTAGATGGTGCCATCTTCTTACACATACTGTTAAGGCAACAGGCGTGAGTTTGGACTCCTTTGTCATGCTACAATAAGAGCATAGCTGTTAGACAGCCCTAAATCTGCCATTACAATCCTCTGAAGCATTTTGGCAAACCTTGAAGTGTTCAGCAGCGTCTCAGTACGGTAGAGAGAAATAACTGTGATTGGTTATGTAGTTCAGAACTGAATAGACTCAGAATCAATTGTTTGACAGTATATTAATCCGAATAAAAGATTAATGAGTTTAGTGAGTTTGCTAAAAAAAAATGCAACAAATATCAGAGTAAAGCTGTTTAACTGAATGTCAGATATTCGTTTCTTGAACAATTATAGTTATTTTACTCTCATACGCTCATTTGCACAACTGAGCTTTACTGTAGGCCTGAGTGTTTAATAAAGAGTTAATTAGATAATCAAGAAAAGAAATGCAGTAACCATTACATTTTATCTCAGACTCACTTGTTATAGAGGACGATATCTGGTACCCATATGAGCTCTGACGGCACTCTTATGGATGTCACGTTGTCATAGTCAGACGGTCTCCAGCGAAGCTTGTAGTCATTCCACTCCTGCGAGACACAAACAACACGAATCAGTCTGGAGGGCCGTGGCCCCATTTGTATTCATCATATGAGTCATTCACTTCAACAATGCAAATGCTTTTTTGCATTCCTAACATTTTATGTCAGCATATCCCCTCATGAATATAAAAAAATAAAAAATAAAATCTTAATAATAAATCAACACTGACACTAGATTTCCTAACCTGTTTAAGCCACACGTTGGTTGTCATCATTTGGTTCTTTTCATCCTGAAAGACAGACAGATAGAGAGCGAGAATGATGGAAATATTGTTAAAGTTGTCAACCGGGGGTTCAGACCAGAGAAATATGTCTGTGTTTCTTGGTGTTTTGTCAAAGGAAAACTCAAATATAACTTTCTGCTACTTTAATGACTTTATGGAAATCATATACACAGCTTCCTTCATAGCTGTGGGATGTAGTGTACCCATGAACAGGCCTATACTGACCTTGAAACCAACGTTTGAGTATATACTGTACAGGCATCACTGTATTTAGTCAATGCACAGAAATATCATAACCCTATCATCACCGATCATGAGGGTTTTGGTGATGAAGACATCTGAACACTGTTGTTGTTGTTCCTAGAGTATTTAAAAGTAGGATGGGAGGCAGAGCCTTCAGTTTTCAGGCCCCTCTTCTGTGGAAACAGCTTCCAGTTTGGATTTGAGAGACAGACACTATCTCTACTTTTAAGATAAGGCTTCAAACTTTCCTTTTTGCTAAAGCATATAGTTGGGGCTGAATCAGTTGAGCCTGAATCCTCCCTTAGTTATGCTGCAATAGGCGTAGGCTGCTGGGGGATTCCCATGATGCACTGAGTGTTACTTCTTCAGTCACCTTTCTCAATCACTGTGTTAATAGACCTCTCTGCACTGAATCATACTTGTTATTAATCTCTAACTCTCTCTTCCACAGCATGTCTTTGGCCGCCCCTCCCTGAGCCTGGTTCTGCTGGAGGTTTCTTCCTGTTAAAAGGGAGTTTTTCCTTCCCACTGTCGCCAAAGTGCTTGCTCATAGGGGGTCATATGATTGTTGGGTTTTTCTCTGTATGTATTATTGTAGGGTCTACCTTACAATATAAAGCGCCTTGAGGCAACTGTTGTTGTGATTTGGTGCTGTATAAATCTAATTGAATTGAATCGAGTTGAACAATCATTTATTTTTTCTGAATGACACTAGAGCAGGGGTAGGCAACTCCAGGCCTCGAATGCCGGTGTCCTGCTGGTTTTAGATGTGTCCTTGATCCAACACAGCTGATTTAAAGGGCCACCTCCTCAACATGTCTTGAAGTTCTCCAGAGGCCTGGTAATGAACTAATCATTTGATTCAGATGTGTTTAATCCGGGTGAGATCCAAAACCTGCAGGACACTGGCACTTGAGCCCTGGATCATCATCATATGTCACATCACCAGCTCTTTGTGGCAAACGCAAGGCAAACACTCACCACATCAATAAGCTGGGCTATGGAGAGTCCAAACTTGACAATGACGACGTCGGAGATGTTTGGCACAGGTCTCGACCACTTGTTGTACCCAGCGAACAGGGTCTTGAAAAGGTCATCTTCAGCATGTGAGTGGGTCTTCTCGTCACAGAGGGCTGTGGATACATTACTGGTGTAGTTAGCCATTTATAGAAGACAAATGCAATAAGTGAAGTGGGTAATTTAGGAATTTGTAATATTTCTATTCTCTTGTTGGTTAATATATTTATTCATCTCTCTTGGATCTGCATCATAGAGTTTGTTAACATTTAAATAAGCTAACATGGGGCTGTTAAAACTACAGGTGTATGTGATAAAGACCTCGCCTGTATCTTGACACTAAATGCATTTGCACTTTTTTAATGCATTAATATTATTGGTGAATATTTAATGGTATGGCATTCTAAGACTGAAACGGGATGAAAGAAGCGGAAGCTGAATGGTATATGTTGGGATCACATCCATGTTCTGTCATCTGTGTCTCTCCTAATCTTCACTTAACAAATACTAGTAAATCTGGCTGGCATCTGGGTTGCTTTTGGGAGCAAGAGAGAACTGCGAACATGTCGTGCTTCATCACAGAAGCCTACTCTAAACATCTAAGACTTTTCTTTGTAAAGTCTTATCGACTTTTCACATCTTAGCAAATCTTTTGATCTCTTGATCTCGGCTCCCCTTGAGGGCTGCCTGCTAGAATCTCTCAAGCTGAGAAGGTGGAGACAAAGGAAGCGTCTCTCCTCCCCTCGACAGTAATACCATTTCAGCTATACAATCTCTAAAGTCTTATTATTATGTATGTAAGGCCTCGCAGTGAGAGGCGGCTTGATTAAATTGATTCTGAATATGCACTCTAGTCAGATTTGTGTACAAGCTGGGACTGAGTCACCGTATTGTGTTTCTGCAGAATGAAAAGCATGGAAATAGACAGGAATCCCGTCCCTTGGGGATTACTGCTTCCACCTTCATCAGTGTAGTGAGAGTCAATTACACACATCATTACTCGCTACTGTTAAGTGGAGGTGAGCTAATTTCTCACCAGTGAAGGGTGTTTATTGTTGAGCTGTCTGTCACTCTGTGTTACGTCTGATGCATGAAACAATTAACTGATGCTTCTGATTTGGAGTGGAGGCTAACGGTTGGGTATATTTGTC